TACTACTACTACTACTACTACTACTACTACTACTACTACTACTACTAAATGAAAATGCTATTATTATTGTAGTTATATGGGCAAGGGCGTATACACAACACAACATTATAACGTGCGGAAATACAATGTTCATTATATATAGAACAAAGCAATTGTGCATATTGGCAATACGTTTTTTTTATACGATTGTATTTTTATTATTTATTGTTGTACGTTTACGAGAATATAGTGTTTAAGACCGCAGAAGAAAATGTGCAATTTTCCCGGAAAATCTAATAAATTCGTAGAGCGAAACAATTATTTGCAACTAAATGATAGTTCCGATTCAGTGTTTGTATTACAGGTGTACAGGTATACAGTCCTAGAATGTAGAATATAATTTCCTAGCTGGTTTATGTTTGAATTATAATACGATTGAACAATAATATGTTATCTGATACATTGGTCGTGTAACCGACTGGTTTAAAAATGCTTTTAGTACATTTTTAATTTCAGTATTATTATTGTTAAATATATATCTTCAACATCTTCAAGAGGGTTCAATATCTTCATATTTCATTCCACACCACGCGGTCTATGGACCTTTGAACGCTAATTCAAAGATTCGCGTGGTATTTGACGCGTCTGCGAAATGTTACAATAGTATGTCTCTCAACCAGTGTCTATTCCCAAGTCCGAAGTTACAATGTGATGTAATCATCGTGTTAACCTTGTACCGAATTCACTGCTATTCTATTACGGCCGACATTAATAAAATGTATCAATAGATTTTGGTATCCCTTAATCACTAAGTGTATCAATATATGCTATGGCGATCGTGCGCTGTAGAAAAGCTATAGACATATGATCTGAACACGATCACATATGGAGTGAACTGTTCGCCTTATTTAGTAATCCGGGTTCTCCATCATATTGCAGAACAATACTGTCATGCATTTCCATTAGTACGCGAAGCCCTTTTGTACTATATATATATGTAGACATCTGTGTCGGCGGAAATATAGTGGTGGAAGTACTCTCTCTGCATGAGCAGTTGATATGTGCGATGCGTGAATCAGGTATGGATCTTAAAAAATGGTCGAGTAATAGTACCGAGATTTTGAATAAGATGTCGCCTGAAGATTTGGTAGGTGGACCTTTATCGTTCGAATTATCATCCAAATTAGAAACCAAAGTCTTAGGTATGCAATGGTCTCCGCGTGACGATACCATTACGTAAAATTGTCGAGCACCCGTAGCAATTGTTTATATAGAACGAGGCATGTTATCGCTCATCGCACTCATGTTTGACACTCTTTGGTTATTATCACCCGTGACTTTTTTCGCCAAGCACCTAATGCAGCGGCTATGATCGGTCCGCTGGCAGTTCATGGGATGAGATAGTGCTATCGGTGATAGCGCTTTTTTGGAAAAGGCTTATGGATGAATTACCAGTATTACAACAAGTAGCCATTCCTTGGTTTTTCGGTACCTTATATAGCTTCTGCGATTCTTCCTCTGTTGAATATGCGGCTGTGGTGTATGTGAGACTAGTGGATACGTTGGTTTCACTGTTGGGTGTGAAGACAAAATTGGCACTAATAAAGACGTCGATGATTTCACGTTTAGAATTGTGTGCGGCTCTATTATTAGTGAGGTTGAAATCAACCATGTCCCTAAAGTTGGATGTGGTCAATGTATACGCGTGGTCGGACTCTACTACTGTACTGAACTGGCTGAAGGTTCCCCATGAAGTCTAAAATGTTTGTGTTCAATCGTATTCATAAAATTATTGCTGCCTAATTGTGCTTGGAACTACATCCCTACGACACTCAACCCCGCTGATTGTTGTTCATGAAGAATCATGCTGTCCAAAATAGTAAACCATGAGTTGTATTTCCAAGGTCCACCCGTATTGTATTGTATGAAGATAGTTGGGAAAGAAACATACAACTCATACCTATCAAAAAACTGCCAGAAGTTAGGCACTGCAGTCATGTGGCATTGATTGTCCAAGAGAAACTAACCGAATGACATGTCAGATTTTCTTCCTACCCGCGATTACTTTGTGTTACGGTCTGGATGCGCCTGGTTTGCTGATGGGCGTCGAAGGAAGAATCTCCAATGTGGGTATTTATCTAGGAGCGAGCTTGATCAAGCCGCAATAATATTGGCCTATGGTTCTCAATACTTTTTCTTTCCTATAGTGCGCCACGAGATGAAACGAGGACATCCAGTCTCGGCCCATCTTATAGCCTGTTTATGTTCATTCATCGATGCACAGGACGTCATACGTCATGGGTAGGCGTCTTTCACGATCGAATCTTCCTGAGGACCAAAAATACCAGATTATATTGTCTAAATAATCGCATTTGTCCTTATTAATAATCAGTCACTGGCACAAAATGATTGGTCACAGTGGTCCTCGAATAATTTCTTGTCTCGTCAGTCGTCAATTCTGGATCTTACCCTTTCGCACTTTTATTCGTACAGTGTATAGTTGATGTGTAAAATGCGTTCGTCCGTGTGCTTTGACCATTCAGCCGATGATGGAAGATTTGCCATTCACACGTGTCACTCAGGCTCGTTCGTTTTTACGAGTTGCCATTGATTATGCTGGTTCGCTATCAATGAAGGAGAACCGCCTCCGAAAGACGCGCGTATACAAGGTGTACGTGGTAGTTTTCGTTTGCTTTGAAGTACGAGCTATATACTTAGAGTTAGTATGGGATGTAAGCACAAATGCCTTCATTGCGGCCTTGAATCAATTTGTGACACGTCGGTGGTTGCCTTCTGTTATCTTCACTGATTGTGGCACAAAATTCGTAGGCGTGTCCAACAAATTACCAGATCTGGTGAACGATCCCTCTTGCCATAATCAGATTACTGGTAGTACTTATTGCACTTGGCATTTTAATCCCTCCGCAGCTCTTCATCTTGGTGGGCTGTGGGAAGCGCCCGTTAAGTATATAAAGTCATTAATGACTTGAACCATAGGAGAGCATACGTTCACCATGGAAGAATTCAAAACAATCCTGTGCAGAGTAGAAGCTATACTAAACTCCCGACCACTCACTCCCTCTTCCTTGGATCCCACCAACTTTGAATATTTAACGCCGGGTCATTTTCTCATCGGTGCCAGAATCATATATTGAGATGGATTCGCGGCCGCTCTTCTGCCGCTGGAATTTAGTGACTCAATGCGCACAGTCCTTTTAGTGAAGATGGCGCGATGTATATCTACAAACCCTCCAAACCCGCACTCGATGGACTGCAAATGTTCCGAACATAGCCGAGGGAAACTTAGTGGTCATAAAAGATTCGCAATCTCCGTCGTTGCAGTGGCGAATGTGGCCCGTGTATGGGAGGTTATACCAGGTGTTGACAAAGAGGTACGTGTCGTCCGTCTTCGGACCATCATAGGCACTCTAACCCGTCCAGGGATTAAAATTGTCAAGTTGCTCGTTAATTATTAATTTTCTATAATACCACATCGTTTAAGGACAGTACGTTATACCCGTTCATAATCACCTTACCACATTCAGCTATAGGTATGTCACCCCTAGTATTGCAACCAAGTATTCGAGTAAAGGAGCTTTTATGATATAGTGACCGATTTATTGGAGCCAAATTTTAATTTTATATATTATCATATAGTCGATTTATATTATTATCGTATGTATTATTTTTTTTTTATTCACTTCAAGCGATTGCCTTATGCCAATCCTATTATTTTCGTTTTGGATGTATTTTTATTTTATTTTGTTTGTAATTTTTTACAATCATTGTTATTTTCATGTTATGAGCCTTTGGCAGTTGGATCTATGTTTTATTTTTGTTCAATTTTATTTTGTTTGATTAGCTATATTTTTTTATTTTGTAATTTTTTCTTTTGTATTATAAGCAATTGTTATTATCATCAACATTTTTCCAATCTTGTACAAATAGTAAGACGTGCTTGTCTTCCAAGGGATAGAATGTTAAATATAAATTGTGTACATAAAAGGCTTATAGGTCGCCGATGATTATATTATCGAATGTTCGATCGGGCGATCGTAACTGTCTTTTATCGTCGCGATAAGACCGAGCCAACACACATAAGTAAATTCGGTGCTGGCGAGTCGATGTGGCAGTCGTTGAGTGTGTGGTTTAGTGGATTTTTGACGTTGTGTCCGTCGTTCGTCCGCGTCTGTGTTCGCCATTCTAAGAGCATAATTTCCAGAACGTTCCACTTAGCACATTCTGTACAGTCTTCCGTTCATCGCTGATGGAAAGCTTAACGATTTGGTGTTCGTCGCACGTGACTTTAGCGCGGTTGCGTAAGCGCAACCATACGAACACCAGATCGTTCGAGGTAACAGCGTATCTGTAGCAGTATTATTTTTATTATATTTATATTCACCACCGCGGTACTTGTGTTTTGTTACCATTTTTTCTAGTTTTATAATATTATTAAAGTTCAAAATATTTTTACGTATTTATTATTATTGATCTATTGTGTGCGTGGCGCTGTTATATTATTATTTGCCGTTACTAATTTTTTATTATATTCTTATCATACATTTTGAATTATAGTATATAGTATATGTATTATAAATCACGTATAGTTTTTGTGTTTGTCACCCCTTTCCCGAAGGTTCGATTGTGATAGCGACGGATGACGCTGTTAAATAAAATCACAATTAAATATACGCCGTCCATTCGATACTCAGGTCGAATGTTAGTTAGAAGGTGGTACCGTTGGTTATATTGGTGTTCTTTTTCATTTTATTAATACATAATATACTACTTATATATTCTTATATAAAAAGGTACGAATTTAAATGTGCTATTGATTATGAAATGTTATAAACTAGTATTAATTCGTCTTATCACCTATTCATGATGTAATAAATTAATTGCGGAGTTTTTTACGTATTTGCGGCACAATAATTTATTGAAAATTTTATTTGATTTTGATTGTATTAGTAAAATATTTTACTATTAATTATTCGAATAGGTACGTATTATTTTACTTGTGATATCCTTCTCCTATCTAGACTTGCATTAAAATGTAAATAGTAGCTGTATATATTATAATAAGCATGTGTATAAAATACGTGTTATGCGAAGCATTAAAGTTTACGAATATACAAGCGAGAAGCTGAAAGCTATTACGTATACCAATCCCGGATTATGAGGAAAGTTAATATGAACGCAGGACTGTAATTTCAGGAGTTTAAATACCGAATTGAGTCAAATGTCATTCTATATTGTGGTAAATGCGTTTTTATGAAAGATTTTACGTACGTTCCAATTTTTTTGATTTTTTTTCCTCTTCCACAGCAGCGCGATTACAGATAACATATTAACAAATGATACAACTACAAATCGATTGGGTTTACTTTTCGGTTCGAATTGGTTTTTTGTCCCTATTCAAAAAATACCGGGGGGGGGGATCGTTGATAAAAATTTTTTTTTAACAGAATAACGATTTGAAAATATCGTAGTATAATAGTTGAAATATTATACGTGATAATATTATTAGGATCAAATTTTGAAAATAATTGCATGTATGAATAATAATGATTTTATGGGTTCGAAAACTGTTATAAGTATTTTGGTTCGTTTCGATTAAACATGATCACATAAAACTCACGTGGCAGCTGGAAATCGTCGTGCGCTGTTCATTTTTATCCGTGTAGGATTGACTATAGAAAATTATCGGCTTACACATTTGTTTTTGCCCCGGGGGCGAATTAATCACCTTTTAATCCGGGATGGTCGTGCAAGATTTGAAAGCCGTACTAGGAAAATTGTTATGGGAAAAACACATACACACCATTAGTTGAAAATCGATTCTAAACGCGTACCTGTGGTCAACGGGTTCCCGTTGTTCTGGTACCAGACAGGTGAGGCCGTGCCATTGTACGAGTACCGATGTTTCCTGGGGTCAGCCGGGTCGAAACCCACGGCTGTCGTTTCACCTTCGGTGAAGTTCACTCGGGTTGAGAATCCGACCGCCTCCACCTGCTTCACCCTGTCGGCCACAGACCAGGACGCTCGTCTACAGTCTACCGGCGTAGATTCCGTTGAGGAGATCCTCACTTCGATGCCGTTGTCGGACGCGACGCCGCCACGGTCGTTGCTGTCGTCACCACCGTTCTGCTGCTGCTGTTGCTGATGCTGCTGACGTTTGAGTATGCTTTTCGGTTTGTTGCTGCCATCCCCTACGCCAACCGCTGTCTCGTCTTCCGTTGACATCGTCACCGTCGCCGCGACCGACGTGCATTCATTGCCGTTGTTATTTCCGTTGATCTGCGACAGCACGTCGTTGTGCACGTCATCGCCGAACCGATACTCGGGAAGTCCGTGGCTTTTCTCGGGCGGACGATTGTACCTACGAAAAGTGAACCACCAATGGTCAATGGATTAAAATAATGTATTTCTCCTTCTTTTCCTCTCATCGATAATTTGCACGCGGGTATCATGTTCCACGATCGCGTGGTACATTTTTCTTATGTCACATCAACCCTCGCACCTACTTCCGAATTTTTTTCAAACTCATCCAGATCCGAGTTTCAAAATTTAGAATTCTCCATGAGCTTCCTTTGCGAACTAATTTTATGAATTTCCAAATTCCTTTAAAACACTTGAGTGTCCTTTTATTTACAAGAATAATGATGAATACTTTGAGAGACTGGAGTAATGTTACTTCAGTCCCCATCAGGTGCGAGTAAGTCTGATTCTAGAACTGATCGCAGAATCATTTCCTGTAGTATACCACTATTGATTATCATCGAATAAACTGACGAAAATATATACTCTCAACACACGTGGTAGTACGAAAATGTGATGACGACTTGCAGGGTATTTTTATTTTGATGACTTACCTTTTTTTTCGGGCGATACAGTTGAGCAGGAACCGGCTTGTCCTCCATGTCTACGATGTTTATTTTTCCCGGAGTCGCGTCAAAATGCACCTCAGTCCTGCAAAACTCGACTTTTTTATTGACGTTCTTTTTGTCGATGCTCGGCTCTCTGTCGGCCATTTCGCTGACCACTGCTATGGAATGACGTTTTGGAATCTCATCTCCATCGGCTTTTTTGTCCGTTGACAGATCCATACCGACGGAAAGTCGTCTTGTGTACACCTAAGTAAAAATATCATAGTAAATATATCGAAATCTTTTTACGGGTTGAATGCTGGTCAAATATCTTCAAAAATACTATTATATATTTAGCAAATTTTAACCTGCTGTTGTTCTTTACAATCCCCGTCATCGTTGTCCTTGGATGTGGCGTCGTTGGGCTTGACTACGTCGAAATACGCACTCGATTTAGACCTCAGGCTGTTGATGGCCTCGAGTATCTTCCCTTTGGCCACCCCGGTGGTGTTGTACGCATACGCACTATTGTTGGAGTTATTGTTGATCTCTTTTGCGGAGTACTTCTTGACTAGATCGGCGATCGACTCGCGGTCCACCGAGGACTGACGGCTCGAGTTCGACAACCCGTTTTCCGTGGACCGGCATATTCCGCTGTCCGTCGACGAGTCTATCGCGTATGGATCCGTTGCCACGTGCTTATCGTTACCGCAGTGATCCGCTGCCGTCTGTACTTTCTCGAACCCGTATGATTTCCGCCGATTGTACCACTCCTCCGTCTTGGCCGAACCTCTGTAGTCCAAGCTCCGCGAGTCTCCGACCACCGCTGGCTTCACGTCCATTTCTATGCCATCGTCGTCCTTGCTACAGTCCTCGTCGTTTAAGTGCCGCAAACTGCTTTTGGTCTTCTTCAGACATTCCACCGTGATGAAAGTGGGCTTTTTCAATGGCGACGCGGGCTTGATCAACGACCCCTCATCCACCGTCGCCAAAGTGTCACCGTTGCTCGCCACATGCAGTTTCTTGCCTAGCACCTTTTTAAGCACGTCCTCCAGTTCGCCCGTGGACACTTTGCCGCGGCCGCCGTCAGCACCACCGTTTTTCAACTGCGCGAACTGCAAGGACCTCCGGAACCTGGAAGACCGGTCCAGAGGCTCGTCCGACTCATTGACATCGCTGCGTATCTCATCGTTAGAACAACTTTTCAGTCGGTTCAAGTTTGTCGAGACTGACCCGTCGTCGTCATTGCTCTCGCGCAGGCTACCTGCTACACTCGACGTTTCCGAGGTTGTATTGACCGAGTCGACAGCACTGTCTATCCTTGGCAACTGTGACGTAACGGTCTGCGGTCTACGAGTCGGCGGTCTTCTGGTGCTGATCGATCCGCTCCGACCTATGCTCGCTTTGTTCTTCTGCGAACTTACGTCCAAAGGACTGTAATCCAACTGAAAAATCAAATAACATAAGAGATCGTATATAAATTATTTGTTTCGATTTTACGTTTTCTATAGGATTTCTTTGTTGATGTAAAATATTCGATTCTACATATTTACAATTCTTGAGCGTTTATATTGTAATTTACGCTTTTAACAAATACAGTTTTTTTTTGCCAACACGATCTTATTTAATATAGTAATTATAAATATACATGTACATACACGCAAATGATCGAACTGATTGTCTTTTTTATCAAATATTGAAGACGGCCATTGGAATGCACTGGAACCAGTCTGTTGGAAAATCGCAACGGGTTTGGTAAATGTAATACGCATTATAATACAAGTATAATATAATAGGTGGACATTACCCTATTATATATTTATATTGTATTTAAACGATATTGCGGTGTCGAACCACGCGACGACCTAGAATCTCGTAAATTACACTTACGGTGGAATTGTGCCACGAACTGGTGGTACTTGTTTGAGATCTGATCACTTGGACAGAGCAGCCGTCAGTGTGAGCTTGAAACACTTCCAGTTGTTTGGTCTGTTTTGTCTCCTCTTTACTGCCATCGGCGAGATTCCTGGCGCGTCTATCCACCACCTATATTATGAACACACAATGCGCACGTATATTTTATTAGATAGATACTTTTTATTTCCTATGCAATTAAATCGAATTTAGCCATGGTTGATATTATATCATGATGTAATATTATGCATGAATAGTCTCGTAAACGGGTTTATTGTCGTTGAAGAACGATTTACTGTACAGAGGATCACGGACGAACGAGTAAATTACGCGTGGAAATAAAAACGGTGTTTTGGTTAATGAACCGGATGTTAAATATTTAGCTAACGAGGATTTTTGACCTTGAGATTTGATTTTTAGCTTTGGGTATTGTCGCACATTTGGCGAAAGCGAGTGGACCTAAGTGATTTTTCGCAAAACTTGATGTCGTTTTTTCTTGCATGACTAAGGTATATATAATAATATAATATAATACTTATATAATCTAATATAATATAATATAATATATATTCTTCGACGTAGTTATGTAGAAGTTTTACTCTTCACATTTCTACAGTAATTGGTTAATTGTACATGTTTTAACGTAAAAATTATTTTAGAAAATACATACGGCAATGACGTTTTTTGTACTAAGCGTTATAAGCATATATAATTAAAAGAACTTAATATAACAATCTTATTTTTAAAGCTGTTAGTAACCGAACGAAACAAGAAACTGTAATCGGTGAACTTAGTATTTTCTTTTTCCAATAAAAATTAAAGTGTGACGATAATTTAAAAATTTTATGTCGACCAATTAGTATAAAAATTATTTTAAACGATTCTTTTCTTAAGTGGTTTTCGAGAAAATTATTGTTATTCAGAAACCAGAAATCTGCCAAAAACTGTCACTAGAATTTAGATTTTGATTGAAACTGTTTTTCATAAGATAGCCAAAAGTGTAGCACGTGTCTTTAATACAACACAAATGATGTATTTCACTTATTTGTTTTATAAAATGCAGACATTTAGAACGTGATAGGTATGTTTAAGTAGTGAGTGAATGAGTAAATATCGATTTTATATCATCGTGCATTATTTGAAATGAAACTATTAAAAGTAACCTTTTACGAAGATCAAAACGCATGTAGCACAATGGAAACTTAAATATATTATAGAGGACATTATATTATTAATGTGTTCGCGCTCAACGAAATGTTTCATACCACAGCTGTTGTGCAATTGAAATCATCAGTATAATCATAGACGTATACTAAAAGCGCGCACAGTAAGTAGTACGAGCAGGGCTCCCACAAGGGGGGGGGGCTGATGGACCTTGAGTACAGGGGCCGGCTATTTTAAAAGCTCGTTGACCCGTTGAAGTTTATTTGTAATTTTTGAAATTTTAGTAGAAATACTTATTTTACATTAAATAATATTATAAAATAACTATATATACGAGTATATATATATTTAGTTAATTTGATAGTTCAAAATACGGATTAACCAATGATTACCTAGAAATTAATGGATTGACTTCGAAAATCAATTTTGACTATATTATTACTGAGTTCGCTAAGCTCAAAGCCCGCAAAATAAAATTTTAACTTAAAAATAATATATTAAATATAAATTAAAATATACTTGTTTTTTTTCTTTTTTAGTTTAAATAATATTGTAATAAGAAAATAAAATAGACATTATTAATGTTAAAATGCTGATGAATCTTGAATTTGAATTGGTATAATGAAAAAATAAATATTATTCCTAAAATTGTTATATACATATAAATAATAAATTGTTTTATAAAGGGCCCGGGCAAACATTCAGTATAGGGGCCCGAAATAGTATGTGGGGGCCCTGAGTACGAACATATAGAATTTAACATACTCACATTTGTAAACATATTATTTATTACAGAGTATTATAATTATGGTTGGTTGTGAGGCAATTATATTTAGAACACAATTAGGGTATTAATTTAATGATTGAACTCGATGATTAATTTGTTGAAAAATAATACTCGTAGACTTTTACAGCCGATCTCGCGTGAAATATTATGCAGAGTGTACCAGGAAAAATTCGACAAATGCTTTTGTACTATTTATTATTTTTAACTTTTTTTTTTTAATAAATATTTAGGGCCTTCGCTACTACAAAATTGCATTACTTTACATAGTTAAATATATTTATTTTAAATAAAAAGGCAGTAAAATACCACAGTAAAATTATTATTTATTTATTAATACAAATTTATTATTGTTTTTATATTAATATATGAAATAAATATCAAAATTTTTTAATTTCCATTTTACCAACATGTGGCCTTCTGCGTATAGTCTTTCGCATACCACTAGTGGTACGCGTACCACAGTTTGATAACCGCTCCTCTACACAATTATTATCGAAGGAAACCAATGTAAAGTGTATACTATACAAATTGTTAGAATTATAAATATTAAATGATAATCGGAATAATTAAACCTTTTTATCTAACTTTTTCAATAATAATGATACTGATAGAATTTTTTGTTTATGTTTGGATTAAATTTCAAATGCACAGAATATTTTGAATCACGTACATGATATCATGAAAAAATTAATTGTAATCAACAATTTTATCTTGATCAACAATCGTTACAATAGAATGTAGAATAATTGCACAATAATTTTAATTATTGAATTTAAATTTTCAAAAATTTTAAAAATTCATAATTAATCAATGTTTATATATAACCAAGTTATTTTAAAACCATATTTTTTCTAAAATTCTAAGTTTTTTTCAAACTATAGAATACAATTTAAAATGTTTATATTTGAGTTCTGAATATCAAAAATCTTTTTATACAATTTTTTTGTAACGTAGGACCTAAGTATTTATTTAAAAAAAAAAGATATTTTAAAATAATAAACAGAACTAGAGTTAGGTATTCCATTTGTCGAATCATTCTAAGATACCTTGTATTTTATAATATAATACGAAATCGATTAAATAGAAATATTGTATATTCATTTTTGCCAGCGTTCCATTTATGGAACTCGACTGGTTAATAAAATCAAAACACTTTAGGTTATTAGGAAATATGCATAGTAATTAATCAGTTCGTGGTGGTGTGTTAACTATTCATGTCCGCACAGTGTTTATTGATTTCGGCGAGGTTACATTTGTAATAAACTATGAAATTATTACTAATCTACTCGGATTACTCAAGAAAAAAATATTGTCATGAAATGATTATAAATAATATTACCGATTCGCCGTGAGTTGATAAAATTGTAATATAACCATAAGAATAAAATTGAAAACTCGACCGTGATCGAATTCGAAGATATACCTACTATAGGATTTTTTTAATTTTACAGGCGGTAATTTGTTGAAAAATTAAAGACCGCCTAGATCGAAATAATGTGTTGTGGTCAGACAGTTTAAATTCGGGCACATACCTGTATTGTATAGTACGAAAAAACGTGCTGTTTGCGACTAGTGACGCTGATCCGGTGTAAATAATATACTTAGTTCAAACTGCTATTTTTCTGAATTGAATGTGTGTATAAAAGTTGTAGAATGCGAAGAAAAGCAAAGCTTTTTTTCTTATTTAAACAACTGTTCGTTTCCATTGTATTTTAGCTTATGCGTTATAATGTGGTCTTATATATATTTTCCTGGTTGGGTTTTAAGCGGTATTTGTTAGTTACTATTGGATTTGTTCGCTGACCACACGCAATTCAGACCAGACCAACGTCGAAGGTACAGTAATTCAGACAATGAAATAAATAGTGTTGGAAGATTTCCTTATAAAAATACACTTGTTTCCGTTCCTAGTTCCTGCTGAAAAAAGAAACAAGTTACCATTCCTTGTTTTAGTTATAAATATAGAACGCATTCTCGTTTCTTTTAAGTTTTTTTTTTTATCCAAGCGGTTATCAATGATGTAATTCATTAGTAGTTGTTGGCTAATTTTTTAAATAAAAACTTTTCTTAATAGTTAATTGAACCCAGATTGAACTTTATAGGTGTCAACTTTTGATTTTTGCACATTTACAATAATTAATTTATGCGTAAGGAAAAACTAACAAAAACTGGCGGAAAAACAGATATTTTTAAGGAGTGCCAATTTTAACAAAATTGATTAGGCTTATTTACATCGTTTTTATCACATTTAGACAACCGTATAATCATATTAACCTTATATTACGTAGTATCTTGTATGTGTATCATAGATATTAGATAATAAAAACATGGTAGGACATAACGTCTTATCACCGGTAATCAATGATTCCAATTGAGGCCAAATAAGTGTATATATTTTACCATTGATTATAGAATTAACTATTATTATTTCATTACCAAGACTATAATTTAGTAGAATAAATTTAATATATTCTAGGAAATATTTTTATTAAAAAATAACATGAGTTTTTTTATTATTGTTAATTTTTTTTTGGGAACGTACATTTGTGATCAAGTTCCTCATGGATAAAAATTCTTTTCCATTTCTCGTTCTTATATTTGAAAAGAAACGCGTTCCTTTCCAACATTGCAATAGAATAATGTAATATTATTATTATTAGGGTTGAGATTTTAATACTCTAAAAAAATAGCAAAAAATGTATTGATGATAGTTTAAAAGTGATATTATAAAAATCATGTTACTAAACATATTTAATTATATATATTTAACATAATAATAATATAATAAGAACCTACTTATTTATTTAATATTTATATTTTATTTAACTTTCTTTAATTATGATCGACGTTGGACTCTTCCAAATAGAAAAATTTCTTTCGATTATTTTAATTTTATTTTTATTTTGATAAAATATGTACATGAGCCGATATGTTCGTATTTATTATTTTATCAATAAAGTAGATTACATACTAAACGTGCACGTTTTGAGTGAAAAAAACGCCTAATATTTAAGAATCAATAGATAAATTCTGAAAAATGTTCTAAAAACTTGAAAATGCCATAAAAACCGCAAAATATACCCTAAAAACGCATATAAAGTTAAATTTGTCTTAAAAAGCAAAAAATGCAAAATAAAAACTCCGTTAAACTAATCAGTATCACTTGAATCACATTTTCGGTTACTGGTATTTTTCCCGAATCGAAATTCCTAAATGAACTTTTTTTCCCAATGTTATTTTTTTCTGAAAGTCCATAAATTAGAAACCTTTTTTCCCGAAAATCTTTTTTGCATAATATATGTATATAAAAAATAATAATGAATTAATATAATTATTAATTAACATAGTAAATTATGCAGTGTTATGATTTAATAGGTATTTTAAAATCGATAAATTATATTTATAAAAATAAATAGTAAAATTAATAATATCATATTTATAAAACAATTTTAATTATATAGTTATAAAATATAATGTGTAGAAAAAGCTCCTCATAGTAACAATGTTTTTAATTTTTTTATTTCGGGAACAATAACAATCGGGAAAAAGGCGTTCGGAAAAAAAGATTTTGGATTTTGGATAAAATACCATTTGGGAAAGACGGCGGGTATCCACATTTTCTGCTTACGGACCTACGTATTGGAACATAAGAAAAAAAGATGTATTTGCATCAAAATCGCAACCCTAATTATCAGCATAAAGTCTTAGGTATGTTGGTACCTTTCCGTATTTGTGTTTGGTATTGGCTGTGTGATTGGTCCATTGGTCAGCTTCGACTCTGGCGTGCTCCAGGATTCCGGTCAACCTGTCTAGCCTCGACCATTCTTGGACGTGTCTTTTGATGCCATTGTCGCCGTTCGAAGGCTCCGAGCCTGTGGCTGAATTCCTTATCAGAGGGATCACCTCCATGTCGTGTAGCGCAACAAGCGCCCCGTGGCATCAATAAATGGCGCGAGAATGCGGCGAGTCTGCGAACAAAAAAACAATGATAGTTAGCGCGATCGAGCGATACGGCCGGTGGGTGCAAATAGGTACCCGCGAATGATATCATATAATACCATTGTCGCGATACCGGTTGAAAGCGTTTTCGATTTTACGCAATAGAACGCGTTTTCTCTGCGAATTATTGGAATCCGGAGTAAATAATTAATTGTTATACGAATGGACGGACATTTTACTATACAAAAATATAATTCGCGTTAACCTATGTTCTAGCGGTTTCGACCGTTGCGATGAAGATCTCGCTCTGAACGAATGACCCTGTTTAACAATAATAATAATAATTATATCTCGACTAATTGTCAATGCGCACGCGCGTGTAGAACACAAAAACAATATAATATCACGGCGTCGTTGGTTTGCGAATGATATGCAGTGTGTCCCGGTTCTTCACCGGACCGAGACCGCGTCGTGCAGATTGTATACTCTTTTGTACGCATTGTAAATATAATTGCACCGGCTTCAGTTGTACTTATCTTTATTATGATACGTAAGTATTTTATTTATTATTACTGGAATCGGATTGCAATTTTCGCCCGAACGCGCCTGGTGATTTATCGGCTTCGGTTTTTGCGCGCACCACGAGCGTTTTCTAACTTAACCTATAACGCGGTCGCCTTACACGCGGGACTGTCGCCGCAGATCGTGCGCGCGAACCGAAATGTGTAGTGAACCATTTCGACTGCGAGCTACGTAAGTAAAAAATCCTTTCAAAAGGTCGCAGTCGTCCACCTCCATCACTATCACGTGAGCCGTGGGGTCCGTGACCGGAATGAAACACGGTGTATTCTCTTTAGGTATTCACGTTAGTGTTTGTTATACTGGATGATTAGAATTACGTATTACAAAATAATTTAATATGTAAGAAATGCAGAAAATAATTATTTTAGATTCCACTATTTTCATGTTTTTGTTGCGATTCGCTTATTCGTATATGAAAAAATTGTTGTAACACGAACTCGTAATTATTTTGTATAATGTATATATCCAGTACAAAGATTTACCGTACGCTGATAATATTTACCTAGCATGTGTCAAGAAATATAACCGAAATCTGCATTAATTAATAGTTGTTAATTATTAATATTCAATTAAATAATTATATATATATAGGTTTTTTGGTGAAAATATTTTAAAAATAACTATATATTTTGCATAATAATGTTATGAAACGTTTGAAGATGTAAGAACTTGTACTGTATTTTCAATTTTTATAGAAATAATAAATCAAGTCCGAGTTAAAAAAAAAATTACACTGCGATAAGTAGTTAATTCATGTTGGACATTCTATATATAATATGTGGTATACGTATTCAAACGACAAATAATTTGGAAAGAGAAAAAAAATGTCATCTAATTACTTTGCGAGTAGCAGAAATAAAATGCGCGCATACGCGGGCGACGTATTTATAAATTTCTGTTTGTGTGGGAATATAAAAATATGTGCATCGGTTTTTCACTTCAACATTATAATAATATGCATATACGATAAAGCGACATTCTATATTATGTAATGTACATATTATTATCCGATATTAACGCGCGTCGACGAACGAGAACAATAATCTTTGATTTTTTTTTCGTTTTCGACGTTTAAAAATTGTAGTATACTTACTATATTATAACAGTTGAATTATTGGAATTCAATTTTCGATCGACAGTCGGTATGTAAATTGCAGCAAGTAAAAATTTAACATTATAGAATCTACGACAAAACCAATAAGATACATTATACAAGCTGCTGAAATTTACTGTACATATCAACGATATTACATAGGTACTATATAGTACGTAATGTGTAGCCATGTGTACCTATTGTACGTATATTGTTTAATTAATTATGTTATGTTGCGTCTTGCGTGTCTTGCGTTTATTACTACTTATTTTTGATTCATGTTTAAATTTGAATTTGAAATTGTTTGACACTATGAATTGTTTATTATTCTGACTAAATATTGTTGTACATTCCATCACGTTGAATATGAAATTCACATTAAATATGAAACTTTTAACTACTTCTACTGACATCTAACACTAATAAGTAGGTACTAACTAGTATTATCAAAAGTAAAGGAACCAATATTTAGTATGTTTCGTTAAAACTTTAAAATAAATTTGGATTTACCTTACCATTTTATATGCAAGACGCAACATAACATAAATAATTAAACAATATACGTACATAGGTACAAATAGGCATATATTACATACTATATAGAATATAAAACGAATTGCTACAGCTGGTATAACGTACCTTAAAGGTTTTGTCGCAGATCGTATGATGTTTTCTTGCCGCAGTTTACATATCGATTTTTAGAAAAAGGTTAATTTTGCCGCAGTTTACTATCTTCCGTCTTCGGATCGATGCGATGGCGTGCGCAGGTCATTAAATCTTATTAGGATTTTTTTTTTGTTTTGTTTTTTTTTTCTACTGGTTTCGATGCTGAATTTGGCTTGAAGACGACCAACTTGGGCACGGCTGTGAGGGGCGTATATCCAATTACTCTCGGACGAGATAGGTTAGATAGGTATAAGAGTGTGTTATTGTGATATTTGATTTTTTTTTTAAGGACTTCCAAATTACGCAACGAGTTCACTTTTATCGTCATAAGTCTCGTGCCATTTGTGTATATATATGTATATGTATTGTTAACGACTGGTTTAAGCGAGGTTTTATCTGCCCACACGCCACCCGGACTACTATTACTGTGGTACACACACTAACACACACACACACATTATATACGAAACAGGACGTACGGTTTGTTAACATCAATGTCGTACCTACTATGTGCACCGTGTGTGTAATTATATCCAGTGTATAATTTTTATGTGAGTTTACATGATAAATTTTCGATTTTCGCTTTTGATATACACATCACATACCTTTGGACCATGCGTTTTTACGAATGAATTAAATAATGTAATAATATTACGCTGACGCCTATACACTTAAACACAAATCGTTACATAATAATATCGAACGGTATTGTTAAAAATAAACGTATTCGCGTAGAGTTGTACTATAATACTGGTAGTGCACGCGCGAGAAGAAAGTGAAATGTAATGTTAACGAAATACGAAAAAAATAAAATAAAACAAACGTCAAAAATGTATTATTTCGAAGAAATAGTACATTATATGAACCGGAACTCTTGATAATTGTGTACAGACTGCGGTATAATGTACGCAACGCGATTGTTTGTTGTTTTCTACCGGAATACTGAAACTCCGTAACTACCCACCTATATAGGTAGTTAGTTTAACTGAAGTGTACCGTGTGACAATTATTTAAGTACGGTCAATTAGACCGAAGACACAAAAATCGAGTACTTGCGTTTCTCGTCCTGTTCATTGTTTTCCGAAGAGATCTCTAACCGCTTTATTATTTTATTTTCTTCCCCCGGTCAGACCACTGCGTCCATAGTTCTAGTATTCCTAAAACCTAAAATAACCGCCGCACGAAGCGCGACCGAATTGTGTTGGACGGCATCGAATGAGTCTCAGATTATTTTTGGTTCGTGCGAATCCAGTCCGGTAAATTTTTTAATACGTTTCAACAATCGAGTCCCATGTATTTTTATGACTAAACATGCTTACTGATCTCGCACGGCAGGCATGAGAAATGCGATGAAAAAGCGTTTGATAGTAGCAATTTCAGCGACTCCGCGTTGAAAATAAAAGCTATGAATGGCATTGCTATCGGGCCATCAAACATTTTACGTAATTGATTTACGAAGGACAGTGTCGTAAATACAAGTCGCAGTACAGCTACTTAGTACACGAGTACATTATGTGTTTGGAAAATTATTCAAAAAGACTAACTGACTGTCACGACATAATTAGACTTTTTTTTTTTTTTTAATTGGACCAAAAACATTGTTTAACGCTCGTTCATTATTCCTGTATGGGCTCATTATTGCTAACTGAAATGGGCAGATAAAATGCATTGTGCTTTGAAATCTATGTGCATTACAATTACGAGAACTTATTGCTTTCATATACGCGACTTTGGCAACTCGACGGTGTTTCGTGCGTTGTTCGAAAAATCTATGCGGGGCAGGATGTGTAACAGGTGTCCCACGAATACTTTGCTGAAAGGTTCACGACTCACCCGACTTGTAACTATACCGGGTGTACTTAAGGTGTCCAATTACCGCGTTACACCGTGTATTACCTATACGTACATTGCGTAAACGCTTCGGAGAACGCGTGAACCGGCCGCAACACTACATGGGTGATAGACGTGCGATTGGGAATTTATGAAACCGAACACCATGATACGCGCTTTTCAAGCACTCGACTCATTTGCCAGTGGTTCTCGAAATGTTACGACTACGGAACCTTTAGGAAACAGTGTTTCACGGAACCCCGACAACTGTGACCCTAATTGTTCGATCGAAAAACCAGTACTCCAGGAAACGTGTTTTAAAAATATAGCTCGTGATCATCTTTCGTTACGACTATTGCGACTCTCGACGTTCACACGAACCCGCTCTGGGGAAACCGCGCGTTCAGAGACTTTGTCGCGGGTCAGACGTGCGTATCGGTTTCCGGGCCTGATGGACTCGGCTTCGTGGACGATACTAACGGGGCAAACATTTCGCCTCAGACATCGATGGCTGGGCGATTATTATTATCGCATACCGCACACGCCTCTCCTCCACGACGGTACCCTAGTCACTGCAGAACGCGGTCGTACACTTTTTTACACGCGCGAACACAGAGTACCGAAGCTCCTGTGGGCGCGACTCGTCATCCCACTGCGTTCGCTGCACTCGTAGGCCTGAACAACGCCCGCGGGTCTTCTCGTCCACACTCGGTCGTTCACGTATAATGCACGTTTTGTGTACACACATATTTATCCATTTGCTCTGGAAACGCATTAAAAACCCGCGCTCGGACAAATCAATGTCCGATACGTTTTCGGAAAGTTAAACAAAATTTTATTTTTACAATCTTTAGTACG